AAAAAAAAAAAAAAGTTAAGACCTATGGGTCCATAGCACAGTAGTAATGCTTCATAGGTTACCAGAAAAAGGTTTAGGGTTCAACCCCACCTGGTTACAAAAGAATTTATCATCTTTATAATTGGTTGATTGGCTTCCAATTCATGTCATACCCAATCAGCCGACAAACAATCAATTCTCCAAATTTAGTTAGGTTGCATGAAGATGGGACCTCTGGTCTTCCCGACGATCGCAGACTGAAAACAGATCGAAGCAAAGAAGGTTGCATGAGAAAAGACTTTTGGTCTAACTCTGGTAATAAGCCTACAAAAACTCCAACCCAAACTGGTGACGGCAGACTCTATCACACAATATAAAGAGGTTAATCCTAAGCTAATCTATCCCAATATGGAGCTTGTAGATCTATCCCAATAGTGGTATTCCATGGAATTTAATCATATGGCCAAAGGGCAAGGTATCAGCCACAGGTGATGAGAAGATTAGACAAAATCGTTAAGTCAAGTGAATCTAGTGAGGTTCTACAAGATTAAATCGGAATTCAAGCAAGAATGCCAGTTTTACAGGTGGTGAAAATGGTAGTGCGACGCTATGCTAGTGGCACATCTTGAGGATTAGCGATAACAGATGATTGAAATTCTAGAATTAGTCTCTATAATAATATTCCATACACACTGCTCCTTACAATAATGGACTAGCAGGTTTAGGCAGATTTAAACTAGTGGTAGAATTCCTCTCCCCTGTGAAAGTCCCGTTTGACATGTGACACATCTCCTTGATATTTAAATAGATATATAGTTGGGTAATAGTGATTAGCATAGCTAGTCTTATAGTAATATATGTACTAGGCAGTATTAACTTACAGATTAACTGTAAAGACATAAAGGATATCCTGTATCAACCGATCATTGGTTAACCTGTAAAGACACTTGGTGTCTATCTGGATATATAAATGTATCAATAAAGATTATGCACCATGCGCACATTCCATTATAAAAAAAAATAATAATAATAAATAAAAAAGTTTTTGTTTTTTAAATTAATAAAAAATTAGCAAAAAAGTTTTTATCTTATAATTTATTTATTCATAGTTTAAAAAAAAATTTATTTAAGTTTTTTTTATAAAATATCTTAATAAAATTTTAATATGAAAATTTTATATATTTATATACAATGTGTTACAAAAGTTTTTGAACTAATACTGTATTTTTTAATATAATTTAAATAATTATTTAATTAATATAAGACTTTAAATATATATATTTTATAATGTAATAATAAAAATATTCAAGTTTTATTAATAGTTAATTAATAAATTTATTATAAAATAATAATTTGAAATAATAAAAAAATAAGTTAAAAAATTATAAACAAAAAGTATAATTTTTTTAAAAATAAAAAAAATATTTTATAATATATATTGATATTTATTTATTTTTAATATTTAATTATAATCAATTATTTAAAAAATCTAATAAAAATTTTTTATTTTAATTTTTTATTTTAAATTAATATTTTATAATAAATTTATTAATTAACTATTAATAAACTTAAATATTTTTATAATATATATATAGTATGGTGCAAAAAAAATAATGAAAATTTGTATGTCACAAAATTACTTCTATCTTGACCAATTTTAGGCAAAATATAATTAGGTTTTATTATAATGTGAATATAAGGTATATAATCATTTTTTCTTTATTTTTCAACTATGTTCTATTGATATTTCTAACAAAACCCATTAATGTAATATTAACCTCCAAGCAATAAGTGCAATATCAAATCATATTATATTTTTAAGAGCAGAATATATGTAATATTAAAGAAATTTATCTCAGAATCAGTATATTCATCTTAACCATCTATAAAAACCTTAAAAAGTTGAAGAGACTAGGTAAGATTAAGCACAAGAAAAGTAATAGATGATCAAGAAAGATCGTTGGCAATATTTTGAAAACATTAAGGCAATACCTTTAGTAAAAATTTTCACTTTCTTTAAGAACCTTGGTTCTAAAACTTGCAAAAAGGAAGTTAACATTTCCTACATTATGATTCAGTGGCATTTGATCAATTTTAAATATTAGAATAGTTTTACTTTGGCAGTACCAATTAAGAATGAATCTTTAAACTATTTAGTATGTAAAATTTTACAGATCAATTATGTTTCTTTTGAAGAAACATAATTATTTATTCATTATTTTAATAGGGACATAATTTAAAAAACACATGGATCAAGTGGCCTAAATTGCAAAAAATCTTTGTAGGTAGTTTTTTTTTGATCTTATATTTAAAAAAAATTTTTTTAATAGTAAGTAACATTTGAATTATGTCCTCGCCTTTAATTTAGAAACCTATCTTTAGTACCAATGTTGATGGATGCTTAAAAAGAGAATCATGTCAAGTAAGCTTAAGAACACTTGGAAAACAACTGAAACAAAACTATTTTACTAACAAAACAGCATTTCGGTTATTTCGAAACACAATAAAAAAGTGATACAAGAGTGCATAATCATTAAAAAGTGTATCTAAGAACAGATCAAAAGTTTTTGCATAGGCAGGGATTTGTATAAAAGGTAAGACAAGTTTATTTTGTTTTACATAAATTATGAATTCTAAGTTTTATATGGAAATTTTTTATAATAATATTTCTGAAATTGCAACAATGCTTGAGAGTGCATGAAGATTCCAGCAGGATAACAATCTCAAGCACACCAACTGATTAACCAAAAGTTTTCTTGTTGAAAATGTTTTATATCTTATGATGTTACTATCCAATAGTCCAGATTTAAATCTGATTAAGAACTTATAAAGTATCGTTAAGGGGAATGTGGAAAAAAGAATACTTAAGAATTACAAGAAGTTAATACAATATATGTAGGAAGAATAAGACAATATTCTTAAAATTATTATAAAAAGATTAATATATTTAATAAAACAGAGGTGTGAGTTAGTAATAGAACAAAATGGTGAAAGAATATCATATTGATTTTTTTTTTATGTAATCATATGTCTTACTTTTAAAAAAATTTTTTTTTGATATAATTTGATAAATTAGTTTTAAGTATAATAAATAATTTTTTAATTGTTATTTTTTTTGCACCATACTATATATTTAAAGTAATTATTTAGAACACAAGATTGATAAACTGATTTGTGTCAGCATTATAAATATGGTTCCTAAAATTGGAATCAAATAAAATCGAACAGAATTGCATAAGATTCGGAACATTATTAAAAATGATGGTGGGGTATACCTCACCTATTAAATTTAATATAAACTTGAGAATCAAATACAGAATCGAAGAGAATTGTTAGGATTCTTAATTATGAACTCTGGCCAAATTCACATGCCTCTTTTAAGCAGATTATTACATGGCATAAGACAGATTGAAGTAACCAACTTGTATTAATTTTCCTGTAACAATATGAATTATAATTACATATTAAAAAAAAAAAATTTTTTTTTAATTACTGTAATTAAAATTAAAAATTTATTTGAAATATTTAAACTATAAAAAATTAAAAAAAAAACTTGATAAATCATTTCAAATATAATAATTTATAGCAATAGTGATCTGATAGCGGCATATTAATTTAACGGAATTTTTTATTATACAGTATAACTCTTTTACAGTTAATGCAAATTAATGTTTTTGGAGTTTGATTTTTGGGTCACGATTACATGTGTATTTTCGCATCACGACAAACATGATAGCGAATCGATAGTTATGGCAGTGTGATGAATGCGGGAAACTATACGATCGTGTATTTACTGTATAGGCTGATTTAAATGATAGAGGATTCAAGGAATGTATAAATAGATGTTGCATGTTTTAGCGATAGTCCTTCGTCCCATTTACCTAGTTGTATAATAAAGCTTTTTATAAATAAATTACTTTTAAAAAAATTTTTTTACAAGATTATAGTATAATTATAAAACAGATAATTCATAAATTTTATACAAATTAGTCATATCCAATGCTTTATAATTCGAAATTACTTTTCAAATTTTTTATAATATGGTAAATCGAAGTATAAAATTAAATAAATAAATATCAATTATAATAACAATTATATTTTTATTTATTTTTTTCGCGTAGTAAAAACATAGTTATACTTTAGCTTTAAAAAATTGGCTTTTTTTTTCATAAAATGTATCTTTTACACTGTTTTAAAGTACATTAAATAAAATTTTAACAGGAGTAAATAATAACTGTTATTCACATTTCTGAATTTTAGTTACACTAATTATCAACGAAGTTTTAGCATTATTTATTTTCCGGTAGTATTATTTAATTCATTGTTACTAAATAAATCTCGGATGGAATCTCTACTACGTCTTCTAACAATTCGAGGAAACGGATATTCATCTTCCTCTTCTTCGCCTTGATTTTGCATTTTAATTCCTAGATCTTCTATTTGTTCAGTCAAATCATCCACAGAGAAGCTGCTTCCCCTAATTCTTGGTGATCCAAGTGCTGAAGGTGGCCGCTGAATCTTAGGTCTATAATGATCAAAACCATCATCTAAATCATCAACGAATGAATCAGGGTATGCTCGATGTAGTGCTAGTTTCCTTGCTCTCACATATTCCATCCCCAATATCTTCCAGTCCAATAGATCCGACAATCTCTCAGTTCGATTTCGTTGATTAATTCTTTGGCGTCGAGTTTTCTGACAGAATTCCAACATATAGTTTGTCAATTGCTGTACTGATTCCTCAACGCTCTTCATCCGACGATCTACAATGTATATACCATAATCGGAAGGGTTTTCGATCGTTTCGTCCATGTAACATCCAAATCCTGAAAGATTTGTGGTAACAGAAGGTACTCCCATTAATGTACATTCAGCCGGAGTATATCCCCACGGTTCATAATAACTCGGGAACACTCCAAGATGACAAGCACGAACAAAGTCTTCATAGTCCAGGCCAATTAATGGATTGTTTGAAGACAAGAATTCAGGATGGAAGATAACTTTCACCCGATCTGTAGGATCATTAAACAATTGTATCCGTCGTATTTGCGTCAAAATAGGATCTGTAGCATCGTCAACGACGTTATGAGTAACTATTGGTGGAAGTGTGCCTCGCTTAAGTGCAATCACACGACGTTTCAGCAATACCATTTCTTCATTAGTAAGTAACTCCTTTGGATCCATAACAGCTTGTTGAATGTTACCGCTATGTTATCATTTAATAATATATTATTATTAAATTTGCTTATATAAATTCCGCACAAGATTTAATAAGGGATAAATAACCATACCCTGCATATCTCGCTGCTTTCTCAAAGATACGTTGACCAATTCTATCAGTGATGTCTTTAACTGTCTCTTCAAGTTGTTTCGTTACGGCTTGTCCTTTTAAAGCTTCAATGGCAAACGACTGGGTGGTAGCAGGCATAATAATAAAAGCAACAACGGTCATTGGAGAGTTGCTTTGTTTTAGACGACTGTTGAGACCTATTTTTATGTTAGGTTTAGTAAAGGTTAGATAAAATCCATAAATCCCATAAAACTTTAAATAATAACTTACGCGCTAAAGACTCTATAAACATATCTACACCCTTATTCCTATATTCATAACGGCCGGCCGTAAAGAAATACAGTGTGTTATCCAGATCAAAATCATAGTGACCGTAGAAATGACCTCTCACAAATTTGTGGATCTTCTCTTTGTTCCTGGCATGCAAATTTTGGAACTCGTGCATGGCGGAAAATCTCATCACGTTCAAACCGTTTGGAAGAACCCCGTCTGTATAATAAAGAATCAATTAATTGTTACCGACAAATGATTATTATAAGATTACAAAGTCACTTACCTGGTTTCCGTTTTAATAAATGTTCAGCTTCATAGGCAGTGATTTGACTTACAGTTGTAAAAACATCACAACAATGGGCTGCAGCACGTTCTACGCAATAACGATGATATATTCCGCGCTTTCCAGCCTCTTCGTCAACGGAGAATTTATCAATATTGTTATAAAAATCCACGGAACCGGCACATAGATAACGACCAAGTAAAGTAGCATGAGTAGTAAAAATTGTTGTTAGGTCTGTACGTCGTTTTCTCATCAAAGGAATTGCCACACTGGATAACCATTCATGAAAATGGGCTATAACGGCCTTATTCCTTTCTCGGGAGACGAACTATTGATTTTTGTATTCAGATAAGTGAATTGATCAACAGATGATCTACAATACCACAAATTTTAAAGTCAAACATTTTACTTACATCACCCAAAAACCAAGCAACAAGGTAACCGAAAAGGACAGCATCATTGGTTTCAGTATCATTTGGCGGCGAAGGAATCCCGGCAAAATTCCATAAATCAGTTTTCCACGAATCCAATCTATCGATAATCGAATTGGTATCCAATAACAGGACGCGAGGAGCTCCCTCAATTAACCACCGGCCGTACATCCATTTGATTCCTTGAGAGGACATTCCGTCAAGGATTTCTTTCATACTCCAATTTGTGACCTCTTCCGGTTCTACTTCTGCAGCTGCAGTTGCATAATTCAATGGGCCTATCAAACAATATCTGTCACCAAATTCATGAACTGTTACGGGAGCTTTTGACCTTATAACGGTATAAATTCCTCCAACTAATTTTAAAAAATATTTGTGATCAATTAAACGAAAAGAAATAAGATAGTCTCGTAAACTAATTACCTTTATTCGCAACCTCCCATGAAATTTCAAAGAGAAATGGATTTTTAACGTCACGATGGTTCATTTTGCTTAATATAAAAATTAGTTAATAATGCCTTGCACATTATATATATATAAGCGAATTTAAAATTGCTCAATACCAGAACTAATCCTATTTTTAAACGCTCAGAGTTTGAAAAGTTTGGGGCCTTGGCTTTAGATACCAAATTTTTCGAATTTTTTGGATTACATGTATATATATGTGCGTAATAATACTCAATTTAGCATTATAAATATTTCGTCACTGTGATTGTTTTTTCCCCACTTTAACTTTCTGGCGATCTCACGTCACTCATTTACGATCTGATTGAACAGCACGTGCAAGCATGCATTATTATCTAAAATATCTGTAGGAATATAATAACCTCCCGTCAGTTTAGGTGTTTTGGTTTATCTGTTAATCTTTGTGCTAATGTTTTTCACATGTTTGGATTAAAGGTAAAAACGTATGATTTTATCATATTGCTGTCATACGTATTCTACTAAAAAAACAAACGAATTTTGTAATGCAGAAATTTGGTGATTATATAAAGAAGGAAGTTTGGCGTAGTTTGTATCCAAGCCATCAATTTTTTGTACTTTCTTTCCTTACTAAAAATATTTGACGGTTTTTTTTAGAATGCGCAATTCATTAAACTTTAATTTATCAAAGTAAACGGTATATTATTTTCAAAAAAATTTTTTTATAATCAATTATACGAAAATACTTATTTATCTTTAAATATAATTTTAAATGAAATTGTTTTGATTTTATAAGATTATTGTTTCCAACACATTGTTATAATTATAATATTCAAACATATGAATATTATTTTATACAATATTTTAAACAAAATTGATAATCAAATGATCAAGTTGAAAAAAAAAATTATAATACGTATATAAAATTAAATTTTATATTTATTGTAATAAATTTTTTTAAAAATTTAGATTATTAATTATTAAAATAACAAATAGTTTTTTGATTTTAATTAATATTTCGCTTTTTAAAAAATATATTAATATAATAATAATGAATCAAATTTAATAAAATGTTTCATATTTAATATTTATTTGCAAAAAAAAAAGCAAACAAATATTATAATTTATTAATTATAAAAATATATACAGTATAATTTTATATACAGTTTGTTTGAAAAGTTTTAAACAAATTTTTTTTATAATAAATAAATAAATATTTATTTATTTGTTATAGATTTTAAAAATAAAATTTTTAAAATATAAAAAATAAAATAGTAGGTTTTTTAATTCTTTAAACTTATCTTTAAATTTGATTAAAAAAATTTTTTTAAATAAGTAAATATTATTTTTTTATTTATTATATATAATAAAATATATATTATTATAAGAAAATTATAGTAAATAAAATAATAAAAAAACTCTCTCCTGATCGCGTCCGTTTTGTTAAAAATTTTCCTTTTATGGTAATTTTAAGCAAGAAAAAATGT